CCCCGCATGTCCCGCACACTTCCTGCATGCCTGCTACACTCCCTACATGCCTGCTACACTCCCCGCATGTCTGCTACACTCCCTGCATGTCTGCTACACTCCTGCATGTCTGCTACAAATCCCTGCATGTCCTACACCCTGCATGTCTGCTACATCCCGCATGCCTGCTACACTCCCTGCATGTCTGCTACACTTCCTGCATGCCTGCTACACTCCCTACATGCCTGCTACACTCCCTGCATGTCTGCTACACTCCCTGCATGTCTGCTACACTCCCGCATGTCGCTACACTCCCTCATGTCTGCACACTCCCCAATGTCTCCTACACTCCTGCATGCCTGCTAACTCCTACATGTCTCCTACACTCCCGCTGCCTGCTACACTCCCTGCATGCCCGCTACACTCCCTGCATGTCTGCTACACTCCCTGCATGTCTGCTACACTCCCTGCTGCCTCTACACTCCCTGCATGTCTGCTACACTCCCTGCATGTCTGCTACACTCCCGCATGTCTCTACACTCTCCTGCATGTCTGCTACACTCTCTGCATGTCTGCTACACTCCCTACATGTCTCCTACACTCCCTGCATGCCTGCTACAAATCCCTGCATGCCTGCTACACTCCCCTTTCATGTCTGCTACACTCCCTGCATGTCTGCTACACTCCCTGCATGTCTGCTACACTCCCTGCATGCCTGCTACACTACCTGCATGTCTGCTACACTCCCTGCATGTCTGCTACACCCCTGCATGTCTGCTACACTCCTTGCATGTCTGCTACACTCCCTGCATGTCTGCTACACTCCCTGCATGTCTGCTACACTCCTTGCATGTCTGCACACTCCTTCAGTTGCTACACTCCCTGCATACCTGTTACACTCCCTGCATACCTGCTACACTCCCTGCATGTCTGCACACTCCCTGCATGTCTGCTACACTCCTGCAGCTTTGCACACTCCTGCATACCGCTACCTCCCTGCATACCTGCTACACTCCCTGCATGCCTGCACACCTCCCAGCATATCTGCTACACTCTCTGCATGCTTGCTACACTCCCTGCATGTCTGCTACACTCCCAGCATGCCTGCTACACTCCCAACAAGTCTGCTACACTTCCAGCATGCCTGCTACACTTCCTGCATGTCTGCTACACTCCCTGCATGTCTGCTACACTTCCTGCATGCTTGCTACACTCCCTGCATGTCTGCTACACTCCCTGTATGCCTGCTACACTCCCTGCATGTCTGCTACACTCCTTGCATGTCTGCTACACTCCCTTCATGCTTGCTACACTCCCTGCATACCTGTTACACTCCCTGCATACCTGCTACACTCCCTGCATGTCTGCTACACTCCCTGCATGTCTGCTACACTCCCTGCATGCTTGCTACACTCCCTGCATACCTGCTACACTCCCTGCATACCTGCTACACTCCCTGCATGCCTGCTACACTCCCAGCATATCTGCTACACTCTCTGCATGCTTGCTACACTCCCCATTCTGCTACACTCCCTGCATGTCTGCACACTCCCAGCATGCCTGCTACACTCCCAACAATCTGTACACTTCCAGCATGCCTGCTACACCCCCTGCATGTCTGCTACACCTCCCTGCATGTCTGCTACACTTCCTGCATCTTGCTACACTCCCTGCATCCCGCTACACTCCCTGTATGCCTGCTACACTCCCTGCATGCCTGCTACACTCCCTGCATGTCTGCTACACTCCCTGCATGTCCGCTACACTCCTTGCATGTCTGCTACACTCCCCGCATGCCCTTTCTACACTCCCCGCATACCGTTACACCCCGCATACCCGCTACACTTCTAGGGTTGTCGCTACACTCCCTGCATGTCTGCTACACTCGCTGCATGCTTGCTACACTCCCTGCATGCTTGCTACACTCCCTGCATGCTTGCTACACTCCCTGCATACCTGCTACACTCCCTGCATGCCTGCTACACTCCCACATATCTGCTACCTCCCGCTACCGCTACCTCAGCATGCGTGTACACTCCCTGCATGTCTGGGTACACCTCTGCATATCTGCTTACACTCCCTGCATGTCTGCTACACTCCCTGCATATCTGCTACACTCCCTGCATAACTGCTACACTCCCTGCATGCTTGCTACACTCCCTGCATCCTTCTACACTCCCTGCATGCCTGCTACACTCCCGCCCTATCTGCTACACCCCAGCATACCTGCTACACTCTCTGCGCGTGCACACTCCCTGCATGTTTTGCTACACTCCTGCATGTCTGCTACACTCCCTGCATATCTGCTACACTCCAGCATGTCTGCTCCGCCCCAGCATTTCTGCTCCACTCCCGCATACTTGCTACACTACCTGCATGTCGGCTACACTCTTTTCATGCCTGCTACACTCCCCATGTCTGCAGCAACTCCCCGCATTCTGCTACCCCTCCCTGCAGCTGCTACACTCCCTGTGTCTGCTACACTCCCTGCCATGCCCGCTTAAAACTCCCAGCATCCGCTACACTCCCGCATACCTGCTACACTCTCTGCATGCGTGTACACTCCCTGCATGTCTGCTACACTCCCTGCATGTCTGCTACAAATCCCTGCATATCTGCTACACTCCCACATGTCTGCTCGCTCCCAGCATTCTCTCCACCCCAGCATACTTGCTACACTCCCTGCATGTCTGCTACACTCCTGCATGCCTGCTACAACTCCCTGCATGCCTGCTACACTCCCTGCCAATGCCTGCTAAAACTCCCTGCATGCCTGCTACACTCCTGCATGCCTGCTACACACTCTGCATATCTGCACCACTCCATCAAACTAACTACGTAATTAAACTAACATCTCCAAGGTAAGTGCAAATATTTCTTATTTATAAATTAAAAAATGTAAATATTTCTTATTTATAAATTAAAATGAAAATTTTCTTCTTTTATTTTTTTCAACAAACCGCCGTACCCCAAACCAAGGCAGGGTGACCAAAAAAAAAAACTAAGTTTCTCTTCTCAACTTTAGTAACCATACAAGAAAGGGGCTTCTAGCCCCCGCTCCCAGCTTTTTTAGTCGCCTTTACAACACGCATGGCTTACGGAGGAAAAATTCTTTTCCACTTTCCCATGGAGATAAGAGGAAATAAACAAGAACAAGAACTAGAAAGAAAATGGGCAGAAAACCCAGAGGGGTGTGTATATATATGCTTGTACAGTGGACCCCCGGTATTCGATATTAATCCGTTCCTGAGAGCTCACGAATCCCGAAAATGTCGAAAAGCGATCAATTTCCCCATAAGAAATAATGGAAATCAAATTAATCCGTGCAAGACACCCAAAAGTATGAAAAAAAAAATTTTTACCGCATGAAATATTAATTTTAATACACACAAACTGAAGAAGACATGCACAGTTACACGACACTTACCTTTATTGAAGATCTGGTGATGATTGATGGGATGGGAGGAGGGGAGAGTGTTAGTATTTAGAAGGGGAATCCCCTTCCATTAGGACTTGAGGTAGCAAGTCCTTTTCCGGGGTTACTTACCTTCTTCTTTTAATGCCACTAGGACCAGCTTGAGAGCCACTGGACCTCTGTCGCACAACAAATCTGTCCATAGAGCTCTGTACCTCCCGTTCCTTTACGATTTGTCTAAAATGGGCCACAACCTTGTCATTGTAAGTTACCAGCACGGCTTGCAAAAGCTGTGTTAGGGTGATTTTCATCCATAAAGGTTTGCACTTCAACCCCCTGTGCACACATTTCCTTAATTTTTGAAGTAGGCACAATGGATTCCACAACTGGCATAGGTTTCTCAGGGTTAGCCCCAACCTTTCAAAATCTTTCTTAATTTCCATACTAATTTCTCACCCTTTTTTCCACAGGGTTGGCACTAAAAAGCTTTCTTGGGCCCATGGTGACTTATTTTGCAGAAACAAGCACCAAAAACAGTGATAATATGGATAATATGGAATGTTTCCGAATGTATCCTTAGAAAGCGCGCACAAATGGCTGGCTTGTAAACACTGGCACACACAAGGGCAGTTCAGGCCACACGTGGACACGTCTCGTACAATCGTACGATACCGGGTTTTTAATTGGATCCCGAGGCAAAATTTTTGCGTTAAAATGCATAGAAGAATACCGGATTTATCGAATACCGATGCCCTCGAATACCGGGGGTCCCCCTGTGTATGTATGTGTAGTGTGACCTAAGCGTAAGTAGAAGTAGCAAGACATACCTGAAAATTTTGCATGTTTATGAAACAGAAGAAAGGACACCAGCAATCCTACCATCATGTAAAACAATTACAGGCTTTCGTTTTACACTCACTTGGCAGGACGGTAGTACCTCCCTGGGCAGTTGCTGTTTACCAACCCACTACCTATTTAAAATGTAAATATTCTTATTATAAATTACGTTCATATATTGTTTGTGGATAGTGGTGGTGGCAGAAGCCTGTACAGCTTCTCTCAGTGGCCATTATAAACCCAACATCATTTCCATCACTTATCCTCACATACATTATGACATATTTTATTCATTCTAGAGTATATATATCATGTTTCTATGTTATTAATATTGTTTATTATGTCATATTAGATGAATTTATGATAGTTAAATAAGCTGTAGAATTGATAATAGCATCGTATTGAAGTACTATTATGTCAAGCCTCATGACAGCAGGAACGGATTAATTGGATTTCCATTACTTCTTATGGGGAAAATTAATTTGGCTAACGATAAAATCGGTTAAGGACAAGCTCTCTGGAACAGATTAAAATTGTTACCCGAGGGTCCACTGTATTGAGGTTTTGTGTTTGACGAAGTTATGTTCCCCCACACTGGCACTTTGGACTCTGATTTGTTTCACATTTGTCATTGCAATACTTTTCAAGCAGTGCAGTATATAAATTTGTGTATTTTTTATGTGCAGATGTATATGTATGTATACATTTGTAGTTTCTGTAGAATTTAAGTTTAGTAACTCCTATTGGATTTTCTTTTTTTTAATTACAGGTAATGTTTCGAATAAACTTCCTGGTGGTTATACTTTGCCTGGTTATGAATCGACCGTATCAGTTTTACTATTTTGTACCACTGATATCATTTTGGTATACTGTGATGCACATTACTCTTCTCCTGCCACCTCGCATCACTCGACCTTCACATGCAAACTCTGAGGCATCGCCGTTCAATTACCTTTACAGCATCATCAAGTTTGTGGGCCTCGGAGGATTTATTACAGTTTTGTTCCTGTCTGAGGTTAGTCCTTTCTTTAAAAAAAATGCTGAGCTGTTTAACTTGACACAGACACTGTATGATCCCTATAGATTTGGCACTTCCCCATGAATGTAATGGAATATAATAGAGGATGCCCGAAATGGAATGTAAATACATTTAAATTACAGTACTATTAGTGGAGTCTGGGAAATTCTGTGTAAAATTGGAATAAATAGAGATATGCTGTAATCTCCTGATGAATTGAAATCCCTTGGCTGTAACTAACAAAATGGAAATTTGTGCAAGTATAAATATTGTTTTAGAATAGTGTTCACAGGAAGAAGATAGTAGGTACATTGAAAGCCTTATTAATAAAAGCATGTTAGAACAGGATATTGTTAGAGAGCTACATGAAAAATAATAGTTGCCAACCCTATCATTTGGATGTGAAATACTGGTTTTTCAGAAAAAAAGGAAAACTTAAAATGGTTGAAGTAGACAGTGTTAGGACAGTGTTGAACAAATAGATAATGGTAGTGTGGTACAGAGAACATAGTTCATTGAATTTTAAAATAGCAGGAATAGTTTTAAAGTTATGGAAGTACAGTAAACTCTCCATTAAACGGACTTTGACAATATGGAACAAAATTCGCTGTGCCAGTAAATTTTGAAACAAATGACAAGGTCCTTGGTTTCAGAATTGTTTATTATTATTACTTCTTCTTTCAACAAACCAGCCATATCCCACCAAGGTGGGGTGGCCCAAAAAGAAAAAAGAAAGTTTCTCTTTTTAAATTTAGTAATGTATACAGGAGAAGGGGTTACTAGCCCCTTGCTCCTGGTATTTTAGTCGCCTCTTACAACACGCATGGCTTACGGAGGAAGAATTCTGTTCCACTACCCCATGGAAGTAAGAGGAAATAAACAAGAACAAGAACTACAGTGGACCCCCGGTTAACAATATTTTTTCACTCCAGAAGTATGTTCAGGTGCCAGTACTGACCGAATTTGTTCCCATAAGGAATATTGTGAAGTAGATTAGTCCATTTCAGACCCCCAAACATACACGTACAAACGCACTTACATAAATACACTTACATAACTGGTCGCATTCGGAGGTGATCGTTATGCGGGGGTCCACTGTATTAAGAAAATAGAAGAAAACCCACAGGGGTGTGTATATACATGTATATGCTTGTATATGCATGTGTTGTGTGACCTAAGTGTAAGTAGAAGTATCAAGACGTACCTGAAATCGTGCATGTACTATATGAGACAGAAAAAGACACCAGCAATCCTTCCATCATGTAAAGCAATTACAGGCTTTTGTTTTTTACTCACTTGGCAGGACAGTAGTACCTCCCTGGGCAGTAGCTGTCTATCAACCTACTACCTAGGATTACTGTTAATGTCACTTCAAAATAATTTTTTCTCTATCCACCACAGTTACCATTATTGGCCACCTGCTCCCCTTAATTAGTCCATTAAATAGAGAGGGTTTACTGTAGTTAATTAGAAAAGGATAAATTATTAACATTTGTGACAGATTACATGGGTTACTTTATAAATAGTCATTATACCTGATATATTAAAACAATTAATATGTATGAGTTAATGAGTTTACATCATTCTTAAGTTACCTCTTATTTTGTAAATCTTTTCATATAATTCTAAAAGTTTGACCTTCTCATGTTTACGTAAGTTACAGTGGAACCTCTACTAATGAGTTTAATCCATTTTGTGACCTTGCTCGTATCTTGCAAATTGTATGCCGAGTTAATTTTCCTCATTTAAATTAATTGAAATGCAATTAATCCATTCCATCTCTCAGGAGGCACGACAGAATACTTCAGTATTTCGCTAATATCAACTCTACAGCTTATTTATCTGTCACAATTCATATAATATGACATAATAAATGATATAAATAACATAGAAACCTGATATATACTCTAGAATGAATAACATACTATGTCATTATGTGACAAGTGGTGGCGGCAATTCCCTACGCCGCCTTGTGGGTGAGCGGGGAAACCTCCCACCATCCCCCGACACTCCTGACACACCATCCCAGCTTTCGTGAATAATACGTGTTCATTTCCACTTCTCTCCTACAAGCTAGCTGTGTTTGTGAATTGTGTTTTGATCTTTTAATTACCATATCTGACTTACTGACTTGACTGAATGACTTACTGACTTGACTGAATGACTCAACTGACTGACTTACTGACTTGACTGAATGACTTACTGACTTGACTGACTGACTGACCCTGAAACGGTGTCTAGAGCAACTGATGCTTTACCGTCAGTTGTATAATGTACTGCAGGGTAAAATAGAACAGAAATTACAGAATTTATGCACACTCCAGTACAACCATCAACTTCAGTACCAGAACCTCTACCATCCACCTCAGCCCAGTAGGACCACAACATAACTCTCCACTCTCTTCACAATCATCCACAAATACCAGCACACACAGTTTAAGGTAAGAAATACTATTATTTCTGTTGCAGTTATAGTCTTAAGCAGTAAAAACTACATAATACATCACGACACTGTACTATAATTATATATTCACTTTTATTTTTGTAAGATCTGGAGGTCTAAAAAAAAGTTGTTTGAGGGGGGAAAGTTCACATCCTGAATTTTTGCATGTATCCAGAAACAAAAAATCGATCGAGCAACTGCTCCCATCCTGAAAAACTTGTATGGTGGGGCACTCATAAGCCGAGGTTCCACTGTATATACATTGCTATTATCTTCACCAATTTTCACCTGATGGTTGTGATTGTTAAATCCAAATACTGTATGTTATTCCTCTACTCTTATAATGTCAAAATTGTTTAGATGTACCCTCTGTACAGTACTTCCTTTGTACCTGTCACTTTTAATATACAGTGAACCCCCGACTTACGAAGGCCTCATCTTATGATAAAATCGACTGATGAAGCGTTTCAGCGTAACAAAATTTCCCCGACCTACGAAGAAAAACTCGACTTACATTATTCGTCCCGAACGCATTCTGTCTGGCCAGAGCACCTCAGCTCAGCTAGTGCCATTGTTTACAAGCCACCAAGTGTCCAAAGAAAGCTTCTAGTGCCAACCCTATGGTAAAAAGGGTAAGAAATACTATCGTACCACGGTCAGCTGCTGCTGCACCACCGTCAGCCGTTGCTGCACCACCGTCATCTGCTGCTGTTCCATGGTCAGCTGCTGATGTTGCTGTACCATGGTCAGCTGCTGCTTCTGCTGTACCACAGTCAGCTGCTGCTGTACCACGGTCAGCTGCTGCTGCACCACCGTCAGCTGTACTACTCGAAGATGTGGAGAGACTGTTGTTGGTGTGGCTTAACGAGGAACAATTACTGAGAAACAATTAACCCCAGAGGGTTAGCCACCCAGGATAACCCAAGAAAGTCAGTGTATCATCGAGGACTGTCTAACTTATTTCCATTGGGGTCTTTAATCTTGTCCCCCAGGATGTAACCCACACTAGTCGACTAACACCCAGGTGAACAGGCAAAAATGCCTGGAACTAGTGCTCATATTGGTGAATATAAGGCTAGCAAAGGTTGGTTTGAGAGATTTAAGAATCATAGTGGCATAAACAGTGTGATAAGGCATGGTGAAGCTGAAAAATTCCAACCCCAACAAGTGTTTAATCGTGACGAAATAGGCCTGTTCTGGAAGAAAATGCCAAACAGGACCTACATTACTCAGGAGGAAAGGGCACTCCCAGGACACAAGCCTATGAAAGACAGGCTAACTCTCATGTTTTGTTGTAATACTAGTGGGGATTGCAAAGTGAAGCCTTTACTCATGTATCACTCTGAAATTTCCAGAGTGTTCAAGAAAAACAGTGTCCCATCACTCATCACTACATCTTCAATTAAGGTAAGTGTCATTGATTCTTCATTTAGTACAGTATATTGTGCATGTATCCTTCTTTTTGTGTGTAGGAAAATGTATATTTCGTGTGGTAATTTTTTTTTTTCATACTTTGGGGAACGGATTAATTGGATTTCCATTATTTCTTGTGGGGAAAATTAATTCAACTTATGATAATTTCGTCTAACGATGAGCTCTCTGGAACGGATTAATATCATAAGTTGAGGGTCCACTGTATGTTTAACTGTACCTCCTGTACAGTACTTCCTTAATACTTATGACTTTTAACATATGTGTTTAGCCATTCCTCCTACACTTTCTTTGTACCTGTTAGAAAAAATGTCACTTTTCTTATTGCTCAGATTGTATGAAAATGTTTATTCAGATTTATTTTATAATGCTAGCATAAAAATAATGCCAGCAAAATATGTTGCTACAGTGGAACCCCTGAGTTTCTGCCGCCCTGAGTATCAGCCGCTTTGAGTTTTAACTGCTTTTTTCGGCTAAATTTTGTCCCGAGTTTTTGCTGTTGCCCAATGTTTTGGCCTGCGTACCAGACCTGTCCACCTGCTTGCACCTACGCGCCACCCCATGCAAGCATTGTGAGCCAGTCTAGCTTTGTTTATCCTTGAGTGAACATTACCCTGCATGCTCATCCAAACATTTCACAATAAATTCATTGTGTTTAGTGCTTGTTTATTGATTGTGTCTGTAAAATAAGCCACCATGGGCCCAAAGAAACTTCATAGTGGCAGTGAGGCAGTGGTGGAGGCAGTGGTTGAGGCAGTAGTTGAGGCAGTAGTTGAGGCAGTAGTTGAGGCATTGGTTGAGGCAATGGTTGAGGCTGTGGTGGAGGCAGTGGTTGAGGCAGTTGAAGCAGTAGTGGAGGCAGTGGTTGAAGCAGTGGTGGAGTCAGTGGTTGAGGCAGTGGTTGAGGCAGTTGAGGCAGTGGTTGAAGCAGTGGTGGAGGTAGTGGTTGAGGCAGTTGAGGCAGTGGTTGAAGCAGTGGCGGAGGCAGTGGTTGAGGCAATAATAAGTCCTTCCTCTCTCCTCCTCCCTATCTTTCAGATGCCAACAAGAATCTTCAATAAAGGTACGTAAATGTGATTTTAAATGTTTATTTATGTATTGTATTACTCATATAATACTACATGTATGTTTTAAGTACTATATATACATATGTTAAACTATAGTTATTCTTTAAAAAGTGTATTTTTTTGTGAATATTTTTGTGGGTCTGGAATGGATTAATTGTATTTACATTATTTCTTATGGGAAATATTGCTTCGACTTTCGGCCGTTTTGAGTTTAGGCCTAGCTCCTGGAACGGATTATGGCCAAAACTTGGGGGTTCCACTGTACTTTTTAAAAACTTGTGGACCTCCTCTGCTTTTCAAGAGTCTTAACTTACTTAATATACAAAACATCCACACTTATTATAGTGCCTACTACATACACAGAACACTACACTCAAATATAAACCCTCCTCTCAAACTCCTCCTTGATAACTACAACAGAACACACAACCATAATACAAGACACATATCACGCTTCAATATCCCTCGTGTCCATCTCTCTCTGTGCAAAAATGTTATGCATGTAAAGGGCCTGAAGATCTGGAATTTATTATCAGAACACACTAAAGGACCCCTGCCTGTAAATCAATTTAAGGCCCTACTTAGAAACCTCATCAAACGAAACTAACCAGACAAACCGTACTTAATACCTACCAGTTACTCAAATGATGTTTCAGTTTTATTACTTTATATTGTGCTGAGGATTGCTCAACCATGTACTCATTACTTCAAAATTAGGATGTTTCAACTTCATTGTTTTTAATACTAAATTGTTTTACTTCATATTGTAAATTGTTTAAATTGTTCTATGTAATACGTACTGTACTTCGAAATTAGAATGTTCACACTTCATCGTTTTAAAAAATTGTAATACTGTACTTCATATTATAAATTGTTTAAATTGTTCTGTTGTAATCCTACAATTTTTATAAGATAATTCAAAACTGTAATTGTTCTCTACTAAACTTGTGTACTAGACTTGTTAAAACCATATAGCATTACCTGTTAACCCTTTCAGGGTCCCCAGGCCCTCTCCCAGACTTGTTCTCAGGGTTGCCCAAATTTAAAAAAAAAAATTATTTTTTTTCTGATGAAAAGATAGAGAATCTTTTCCCGATCATAATGACACCAAAAGTATGAAATTTGATAGAAAACTTAGGGAATTATGCTCTCACGAGGTTAGCGGTCTTGACGATGTTTACGCATCAGCAATTTTGCCCACTTTGATCCCTATTTTTGCCCAATTCCAGTGTACTAGTCGACAAAAATCATAACTATTTCACTAGAACTCCATTTTTTCTATCGAATGAGTACAAGAAACCAACCAATTTACCAATTTCACTATCCAATACAGTGGTAAGGATTTTTGCAATTTTGGCCAATTTTACACAAATTTCAAAAGATGCCAACAATTTCCAATAGGGTTACAGAAATAAACAAGAAAGACATTCCTAGGTACTAAAATACATTTCTCCTGTGCGTTAGTCATCGTCCCAATGCCTCTACTTACCACTTCTTTGCTTTCACTTTGAATTTTTATTCTCCCATAAAAAATAGAAGATTTACTGTTTTGTAGACTACTGGCATTAGTGTAGAAATGGTTATAAATATGATCAGTGCACGTGTGAAAGGATATTAGGTCTGCCAGTTGACGTGTATTGGATGCTTTGCATGATTTGTTAACTTTTGAGACTTTGGTAATAATCGTGGACATTTCTGCTACTTTGAGTCAATTTCAAGGTACTTTTTCATTGTAAAAACCATTCAATATCATCTCTATTTCTGTTTATGTCTTCCTTCTATAAATTGAGATCAGGAAAAAACTAGAATACAACAATAAATACCATAAGTAAATCTTGTGCTAAGTCGGTTTTTTGTATTAATCCAAAACACAGTCAAAGTTTTTTTTTTTTCTCATTACGCACTGTGTGGGCAGGATTATTTTTTATTACTGTGCACACGACCATTAGTCCCATCTTTCATATCGTTGGCCTACCAGCTTTCTCTCACTAGATTTCAAGGCGCTAGAATTTAGGCGTACTAGTACGTCAAAAACCCTGGTGCGTAAGCTGTACTACTACGTCCGAAACCCTGAAAGGGTTAATAATCAGTTCTCTTGTACTCACTGTAACTCATTTAATGACTGTTTAATCTGTTATTGCCTTATTAATCTTAAGGTAACTTTAAGTTTGCCCAAAATGCTCTGCATACAAGGGGCTTTTGGCATGTACACTCAACTATATTATATTCCTTTGTACAATCATGTATCATGTCAAAATAAATTTTATAATTATTATTATTATTACGTTGTTTTTCATTTCGATATTTTTTTTTTTTTAACAAGTTGGCCGTCTCCCATCGAGGCAGGGTGACCCAAAAAGAAAGAAAATCCCCAAAAAGAAAATACTTCCATCATCATTCAACACTTTCACCTCACTCACACATAATCACTGTTTTTGCAGAGGTGCTCAGAATACAACAGTTTAGAAGCATATACGTATAAAGATACACAACATATCCCTCCAAACTGCCAAACTTGGGTTATTTCATACAACTCGATTCAAAATTCAGCCATCAGCTCAACTGGAGCCCCCAAATCCTGTTCATGCTTGGTTGGGTTTAAAGTCAGTAACAACTGACATTGCTGTCACATTTGACATACACCACCACTCTAGCAGATAATGGAGTGGGAGTATATTTTATGTATATTATACTGTACTGTAGATAAAGTAAATATATCATGCTCATATGGAAATTGTAAATACATATTTCAGTGTGTTGCTGCAAGAACGCACTATTGCTTCTTCTGTTGGGTTTGCAGATTTTCAGTATTTTTCTGTCTCACAGCTGCTATCCCTTCCACTTCTTTCACCCTTTTATATGTAAGCACCTGTCATTTTTTTTTTCATTCAGTTTTCTTGGGCATTTATTTTTTTTATTTCAAAACCATATAAACTTTAGGAAATTATCATATCTTCCTTTCCTTAACTATATAAATATCCTAATCACTTAAGGGTAGGCACACACCGGGGCTTATTTTTTATTAGATGTTTTCAGTTTCACCTAATTTTCCTCTCAAACTCATATAACCTTATCCTCTTACATCATTCCTAATTCATATTATACAATTGAGAAAGGAATGGTAAACTTTTTTAATATTGTACCTTTTTAATATTGTACTTTTTTAATACATGTATTGTACCTTTTTAAAAGCATTAGTTCAGTAAATGTGTACAATTATTTGTTTTAAGAGCATATATTTTGAGGATTATCATGAAAATATTTTGTTTCTATTTACTTTGCAGGTTTTCTTCGAAAAAATATTTGTTATGCGGCCTTGGAAGGCATTGTTTGTCACAACTGATGATGATATTCATGAATGGTGGTTTCGGTGGCAGCTGGACAGATACAGGTACGTTTGTTCCAGTATAGTATGGCTGGCTATTTCTTTGAAAAAGTATGCGTACTTTATATTTTAGTTTTATGGACTTCTTATAAGAGAATTTTCCATGCATTTGTCATGTTCCAGTTGTATTAATAAGTTATATTCTTTACCAGCCTCCTTTATGGTATGATCTTCGCACTGTTGTACAATGGTCTTGCACAGTACAGCCTTATAGATGACAAAAGTGGCTCAAATTTAATGGGTGGCAGATTAGCCTTACTGGTATCCTTCATAGCAACAGTCTTCATTGCTTCTTACTCCACTATGACATTGATTTGCACTAACAAACCAGACTGCAATGAGATTCATCCATATGTGGCGTGGGTGCCAGTAAGTGAATGTTCTGTTTTTAAGTGCATGCTAATAGACTTGGTTATATTCTACAGTCAGACCTCCCAAGTTCATATGAATTCAGAATCTGCAAATAGCTGTACCTCTAAATTCTGTTTGTATAATATATTTGATTTCTTCTCATTTTATGCTCCAGAGGCCTTATCTCTTTAAATATAAGTTTAATCTAGTTAATACTGAATTTCATAAGAGAGACTGTCTAGAAAAAACTGAGATTTGGGTGTGGGAAATCATTGAGATCACTTTGAGTAAAATCCTATTGTTAGTATTTAGATTAGTGGCTGTACACCAAGCTATGAAATGGGCACCACAAAAAGGCCTATGAATAATCAAAGGTATCCTTGTGTGGCCCTTTAGTAAAAATGTTGACTATTAAAAGCATATGGATTTTGGGGTTTGACTGTACATGTATTAATTTTTACAATACAAACCTTGCTTTCTTGAAAAGTCATTAGTGGTGAAAATTTAAACCTATCAAGAGAAATGTTTTTTTTTTTTTTTTTTCAGGGAGTTGGAATTTTATGCAGTAGTTTAAGCATTGTATGAGTTTGGGGGGGGGGAGGAAATCATCAGACATATTAGCATGTTACATGAAAGTGGACAGGTACCTGAAGTCAGTTCCTGACCAGCTGGGCTGACGTTCATATGTTCGTTGGTTTGCGTGTGGCCAGCAGTAACAGCCTGGTTGATTAGGCCTTAATCTACTGCAAGGTCTAGTCATGGACTGGGCCACAGGAGTATTGACCCCTATTGCCCAGTGTGTATACTGTTGGAGTGTGAGCAAGGAAATATCTATGAAGTGATTTCAAGGAAACCAGTTTGCCAGGAGTTTTGGAGATGGGATGTTTGGTAAATTCTAACACTGCACATACTTTTGTTGCATCTTTTTCAGAAACTATGGCATATTAATTGAAATCACATTTTTGTATACACCACCGTTGTACTGTATTGACAAGATGTGGAAGAGAAGTTAATTAATACAAGAAACAATTGTCCATGCCTCAGTTGTCCCAGTGTCTCTTAGAATTAGTAAACTCACCTTGCCTAATTCATTTTTTTTTACTTACTATAATCTCAATCTGGCTCCATACCCCATGCCAAACTCCTCCCCTCTTTATTGTCCAGTTCTCTTGGATGTCCAGCAACAGTGACATCCAAGAGAACTGCAGTGATAAATATACCAAAAGTCAGAAGGAAAAATATGAACTTAGAATCAGTCATTATCATATTCAGATCCTGAAATTTATCCATTATACTTCACCAACAAATACCTTAATCCCTTAATGTGAAGAGACACTGCACTTATTGACACTGCATTCCTTGAAACCATTTTTAAACTACAATGTTATGTCTTCAAAGATATGAAAATATACTTCTCAGTACTGTAGTTTAAAACCTTAACATAAGATGGAGTTCGATGAAAATAAATGGTATAAAATACCATGCATGTGTGTTTATGTTTCCAAGATGGAGTTCACACAATGTAAACATAATATTGGATATTATTGTTTTTATTATATGTTGTATAATGTGTTCATTTTTTTTTGGGGGGGAGGGAGGCTGGGGAGAATAAGGGGGTAGCTAAATCCTGAATTACAATACAGTTTATACAGAATACATTCTTTAGTTTAACAGCACAGTTTATTAGCACATACTCAGAAATGCAGTTGCTGCACTATACAATTCATACATAAGGAAGTGAGGTAGGGATTTGCTAAAAAAGGTTATAGTTAAACACTCTACATGCATTCTTACAAAAATAGTAATAGAATTTTTTATTTTTTTGCTTTCAGATCTTGGGTTTTATTGTCCTGCGGAATATGGTGGGTATTCTCAGGACTCGTTACTCCTCATTTTTTGCCTGGTTTGGCCGCATTTCTCTTGAATTGTTTGTTTGTCAGTATCATATATGGCTGGCTGCAGACACACATGGTGTTCTAGTTTTAATACCTTCATATCCTGTTGCAAATGTTCTTGTCACATCATTTATATTTATATGTGTTTGTCATGAGATTCATCACATCACTAATAAAATTACTCCATTTTTGGTACCAAATGATTCTCTTAGGGCAGTGCGCAATCTGAGTGTGTTTGGGTTTCTATTAATGGCCATAGGTGTTCATGATGGTGTCTTTTAAGCCTTTTATGAAACATCATCTTGGCAGCTATGCTACCAGTAGGAAATTATGTAACTCCAGTAGCTACACTAGGATATATTATCAAGCTCTCTTTGGTAATGTAAAGTTTTAGATCTCATAGTGATGATCTAAAGTTGTTTTGGAGTATTGTTCCATATATTTGTACTTTGTTTGATAGTGCTATTAGATTGATCATTGTAACTTAAAAAACAGTATTATATTTATATTGAAGTACAATATGTTTCAGGGATAAAATGATCTTACATTGTTATCCCATTCACTGCCTTATCCAGTTTTCAGTGCAAACACAGTGCTGCACTGTTGCTTCTTTTATACTCTTTCTGGTAATGTTTTTATGTTTGCAACAGCACCTTTGTTAACCCTTAAACTGTCCACATGTTGATCTACGTGCACGTGTGCAGTGCTCCGAACATAGATCAATGTTTCATTTTTCATTCCTTCAAATTTGGCGCTAGAGGCCTGAGTCGCCTAGACATGAAAGAATGGCGTCTGTGCACTCAGTGTGCACAGTATGAAAAAAATCGCGGGACCACTTAGTACCTTGTGGGAGCACCAGATCAATTGAGCGCCAGCTAGAGCAAATAGCATGGCAAACACCAGTGATTTACTATCATGTCATATTAACACTCACATTTTAAGAGGAAAGTAAAAACTAGGTTAGATAAATACATGAGTGGGTGTGACTTGGACCTGACTAGCTTGTGCTACTAGGTTAGATGCCATGCTCCTTCCTTCAGTGGATGTGACCTGACTAGGTGGGTCATTGGTCTAAGCCCAGGGGGGGGGGTAACATGGACCTGCCTTGCATGGGCCAGTAGGCCTGCTGCATTGTGCCTTCTTTCTTATGCATTCGGCTGACTGGCTGGCTGGCTTTAGCTGTCTCTGTCTGTCTATATCTCTGTCTGTTTGTCAATATCTCTGTCTATCTGTCTATATCTCTGTCTCTCACATGTACTCGTAAGTTCAGTTATTATACATAATGTAAAATACTTAGGATAACCCAATTCCAGGCCAAGTGCTGTACAGTGTTTGTAGATATAAGACATAAATAAACATGATGCAAGTAATAGCAATGTCACTTGCTCAGCAATCAAGGAGTGGCACATAAACCACAAACCAACAGGTTTACTAGCTGCTTCCTGAGACAGAGACAAGCAGATGGAAAGACAGACACACACATGCAAACAGAAAGATAAGCAGAACTAGACAGACAGATAAGCAGAGCTAGACAGACAGATAAGCAGAGCTAGACAGACAGACAGATACAGATAGACAGACAGACAGATACAGATAGACTAACAGACAGGCGTACAGAGACATGTTTGTGTGCAACAGTAAAAACATATAAAGCCAAGGTTCCTGCAGCAGCACACATTCATCAAATGTCACTTGCTATCTGACACCTGTCATAATACCATTCTTCAAGGAGTTTCATACTCCAGCATGTCTAAAACATTGCTGGGACCTATAAATACTTTGTATATATTTCTAGACAATAGTAAATGATCACGGCAGGTGAAAATGTTCACCTGTCAGTGTGATTGTGACTATTTGAGTAGTTTCAGTACATAATATTAGTGTCAGAACAAAGATTGGTTATGAAATCGCAAGAACTATTATAAATTGTAATTATCAGAACATAAATATTATATAATTTTTATTTCCTATAATAAAAAAAAACGCTAAACCACAAGGACTACGAGTCGCTCCCTGATTCCTGAGCAAGTGAAAATGCGTATTACTTGTGTCATGCTTATTATGCCTTATGTCTACAAGCACTGTATAGCACTCGGCTTGGAATTTTTGGGTTATCATAGGTAATTTACACTATGTGTAATAATTGTACTTATGTGTACCTGTGAGAAGCAGAGACAGAGATATAGACAGACAGACTGATACAGACAAAGAGACAGCCAAAGTCAGTCAGCCAACCAGCCAGCTGGCTAGCCTGCCAAATATGTACATTCTGGCAGGATGACACTACCAGTGGTATCAGAAATGTAAGGATGTTGCACATGGGTTATTATCGAGGTTTTTTATATTTCCTTGACCACTTGTGGCCACATTCATCTCAAAGCCACTAAACTCTGGGTCAGCTTCACATTCCTCTTAAAAGGAGAGTTTTAATACGTCATGATATCAGTGAATCCGTGGTGTTTGCCAAGCTATTTGTTCTAGGCACTCAACTGAACTGGTGCTCTCACAAGGTACTAAGTGGTCCCAGATTTTTTTAATACTGCACACACCAAGTGGTAAGACCCATTCTATACTGACCAGGCCAATCATGCCAAATTTGGAGGCAGGAAAAATAAAACGTAGATCTACGTTTGGAGCGCTACGTGAGTGAACGTAGATTTACTTTTTGACAGTTTAAGGGTTAACAGACTTTAGACTTGTCTTTTTATTACACTGACTCTCCCACTAAGGTAGGGTGACCTGAAAAAAGAAACACTTTCACCACGATTCACTCTATTACTGTCTTGCCAGAGGCACGTAGGTAGTCAAGGCTCTTTCCAAGATGTGTGTGGAACGATCGAAAAAGCTGTGAAATTCTTCAGTCATCGTCAACATCTGCTTCTCCTCATCGGACAATTCACGTGCTGGTGTGTACAGTGATGATTCATAAACGAGGAACGCAACCAATTTCTTACATGCTGTGCTTTTTCATTTCCATTAAAATTATTAATCCTGTCTTAGCTAAAAAAATTTCCTAAATAAAATATAGCTACCACGTACATTACAAAACAATACGTATAGTCTATGAGAGTTACAGTATATCATCATATAAAACTGAAATAGACATGTTTAATATTAGGATATTTTATTATTCTTTAGCACTGAAGAAGTCATACATGGAACAACGTGTCCTCAATAACATATCCTAACACTCCACAATACTTGGCATACTTAAAGCAAAATGCACATTTATCACTATTGCATCAAATATAAAAAGGCAACATAAAATACTGTGGTCCCTCGTTTTTCGTAATTAATCCGTTTCTGGATCCTTTACTATAAACGAAATTTACGATTTGTGAATCAATTTTCCCCATAAGAAATAATGTAAATACAATTAATCAGTTCCTGACACCCAGAAGTATTAAAACAAAAATATTTTTTACATGAAATATACATATAGTACATAAACAATACAATGGGAAATGATGAATGAAACATTAACAGCATAACACTTACCTTTATTGGAGATTCTCCTCTTCAAGGGGGGCTCCTTGGCGTGGTGAAGAGGCTCTTGGTCTGAGGAATTAGACCTGTCGGTCTACTTCCTCAGACCAAACCTAATTACCCCCCAATCCCCCGTTCCCTATCCCATCCTCCCCTTTTTCCTTTCCTCCTCCTCCCCACCCCTCCCTTTTGCCCTTGAGATTCTCTATCTCTCTCTCCCTCTCTCTACCCTTTCTCTCCCCCCTCACATTTCTCTCTCTCACCCTTGGTCTTATCCCTCACCCCCATACTCTCTCCTCTCTCTCCCTCTTTCTACCCTTTCCCTCTCCTCTCTCTCCCTCTTTCTACCCTTTCTCTCTCCCCCTCGCACCCTCTCCCTCCTCTAGCCTTCTGTCTGTGGTAAAAAAAAAAAAAAAAGGGTGGCTCTAGAGGACGGAAAACCAGAGATCTGGTGGACGAACCAGGGAGGAAAGACTGGGAGTTAGAGCTCCAAAAAAGGGAGGAAGAGTGGGGAAGGAAGATAGTAGAGCTTGGTAAGAAAATGGAGGAACGGATAGCTGAGGAGTGCAGGAAGTGGGAAGTACAGGTCTTAGCAGCAGAAGCTAGGATACAGTGCTTAGAAGAGAAACTGCAAAGCCTGAAACAGATTAGAGAGACAAATGACAATTCAGATGTGACATCAGGCGCAGACAAGGGGACGGTAAGCAACAACGGAGACATGCTGTACGTGAAGGCCTTATCAGACCCACGTGGGGCCAGGGAAAAGACGAGGAGTACACTAAGATCAAATGACAGGTCCGAAGACAATGAAGGTATGATATATGCAGAGATTCTAACAGCCAACTGCAGTAGCAAGGGACAGCTGGTCATGAAAGACAGTTCATTAAAACGTTTCCGATTGAATATCCCACCAGGAAGGATAGTATTACCAATATCTAGTGAGGTTATCCTAGGGAAATGATCAGACGCTATATCTGTTACAATGGAAGACTCACAGCTGGCAGAAGTAATGTTGAAGCCCAGGCACAGATCAAGGACGCCTCCATAGATATGTGTGGGTTCAAGGTCACCTACAATTTGGACATTATCATGACTGTTTAAGAGTGACAACAGTTGATTACCATTACGATTACCAAACTGTGAGTTTCCAATGCTTTTGTGTCTCGCATTGTAATCGCCAATAATAAGAGTAGGCTCAGAATGAGCACAAGTTGGGAGCTCCAAGTAATTAAATTTATCAGCAGGAGCATACAAGTTAAATATGTTGAGAGCAGAGTTCCCTATATAAATCCTAACACCGTGATATTGTAGCCCCTCTGTTTTCTTGTGTGCAAGAAGTTGATGGGGAAGCGATTTTTTAATATATAGAACACAAGAGTTAGTAGATTTGAGGTTATATGCAACAAATGATGGTAATTTAGGGGGTTGGGATTTTTCAGGGACTCTGCACTCTTGTAGACACACATCAATGGGTTCGGTGGTTACTTTATGATGGTCAGGAAGTCTTTTTCTAAGTGATGCAATATTCCAGCTTAATATAGAAAGTTTATACGAGTTTTGATCCATTATAGTAGTCCTGGGATCATCTTGAGTTTCTCAGCATAATGAAAAAATTGTTCATATAAATAGCAGACCTTATCAATGTCAACAGTGCTACCCTTGTCCATGAGTTTTGTAAGTGCACTTCCAGTTGTAAGGCCTCGTGGGAGTCTTCGTAAACCCAGAGCATGACGTTGTTTATGTGTGAATGTATGATAGGTGACACCACCACTCCCATTCCCTCCTCCACTAACATTACACGCAACACTACAACTGTCATCACCAACGCCACTACCAACATTGTGTTCATTACATTTATCAACAGTATTGTATTCAACATTAATGTCTATGTGGTTAACCTCATCACACTCTGCACCACCACTTATATTACGCTCATCACTATTACTAACATTATAGACACCACCGCTCTCATCACACTCTTCACCACCACATATTACGCTCATCACTATTACTAACATTATAGACACCACCGCTCTCATCACACTCTTCACCACCACTTATATTACGCTCATCACTATTACTAACATTATAGACACCACCGCTCTCATCACACTCTTCACCACCACTTATATTACGCTCATCACTATTACTAACATTATAGACACCACCGCTCTCATCACACTCTTCACCACCACTTATATTACGCTCATCACTATTACTAACATTATAGACACCATTGCCCTCATCACACTCTTCACCACCACTTATATTACGGTCATCACTATTACTAACATCATTGACACCATAGCCTTCATTATGATGCTCACTACAGTTATCAACACAAGTATTATATTCGTCATTACTGTAATTAAGAACACCACCACCACCTTGTTCAGCAACCTTATACTTGCTTTCACAAATTGTGACAATCTTGTTATTGGTACACTCTACACATCTTTCCTTGTGTTGTTCAAGTTGTTGTTTCAGGAGAAATTGTTGTTTCCAGTACTTTTATGCGCGACATAAGAACATAAGAACGAAGGAACACTGCAGAAGGCCTACTGGCCCATGCAAGGCAGGTCCAAGTCTCCTACCGGCTTAAGCCAATGCACCCAACCTAGTCAGGTCAGGTCACATTGACTTAAGGGAGGAACACGGCAACCGACCTGGTAGCACAAGCTATCAGGTCTAACTCACACCCACCCACAACTACTCATGTATTTATCCAACCTATTTTTAAAGCTACACAACGTTCTGGCCTCTATAACGGTATTTGGGAGTTTGTTCCACTCATCCACAACTCTATTACCAAACCAGTACTTTCCTATATCCTTCCTGAATCTGAATTTTTCCAACTTAAAACCATTGCTGCGAGTCCTGTCTAGGCTAGATATTTTCAGCACACTATTTACATCCCCTTTATTTATTCCTGTCTTCCATTTATACACCTCAATCATATCCCCCCTAATTCTACGTCTTTCTAGAGAGTGCATTTTTCAGGGCCCTTAGTCTATCCTCATAGGGAAGGTTTCTGATACATGGGATCAACTTTGTCATCCTCCTTTGTACATTTTTCCAGAGAATTTATATCCATTCTGTAATACGGTGACCAAAACTGTGCAGCATAATCTAAATGAGGCCTAACCAAGGATGTATAGAGTTGAAGAACAACCTGAGGACCTCCTATTATTTATGCTTCTTGATATGAAGCCAAGGATTCTATTAGCTTTATTGCGAACACTTATGCACTGTTGTCTTGGTTTCAGATTACTGCTAACCAAAAACTCCTAAATCTTTTTCGCAATCCGTAATATTAAGATCTACATTATTTAGTTTATATGTGGCATGGTTATTGTCCTGTCCAACATTTAGAACTTTGCATTTGTCTATATTAAACTGCATCTGCCACTTCTCCGACCACTGCATCAGTCTATTCAAATCTTCCTGGAGTGCTCGAATGTCCTCGTCAGAATGAATTCGACGGCCTATTTTGGTGTCATCGGCAAACTTGCCGATGTCGCTCTTTATGCCCTCATCTATGTCGTTTATGTAGATTGTGAACAGCAGGGGGCCCAACACTGACCCCTGTGGAACACCGCTCGTGACGCTTCCCCACTCTGATTTCTCCCCATTTATGCAAACTCTCTGCTGCCTATTTGTCAACCATGCCTCTATCCAGGAAAAAATTTCTCCTCCTATTCCATGTGCTTTAATTTTCCTCAATAGTCTCTGATGTGGGACCCTGTCAAAAGCCTTACTGAAGTCCATATACACAATATCATATTCATTACCATGATCTACCTCCTCAAATACCTTAGTGAAAAAAGTTAATAAATTCGTAAGGCAGGAACGCCCCTTTGTAAAACCATGCTGAGATTCGTTGATTAATTTATCATTTTCAAGGTGGCTACGAACTGCCTCGGCAATTATTGATTCCATAAATTTTCCCACTATGGAGGTTAGGCTTATTGGTCTATAGTTCGAAGCTAAGGACCTGTCACCTGTTTGAAAATAGGTATCACATTTGCCATTTTCCACTTATCTGGCACCATGCCAGTTTGTAGTGATATGTTGAAAAGATTAGCCAAAGGTGTGCTAAGCTCCTCTTTACATTCCTTTAGAACCCTTGCATACAGTTAATCAGGGCCTGGGGATTTGTTAGGTTTTAATTTATCTATTTGCCTAAGGACCATGTCACTTGTGACCCTAATAGTGCACAGTTTATTATCGTCCTGTTCTACATAATTTATCATTACTGGAATATCGCTGGTATCCTCCTGTGTAAAAACTGAGAGGAAGTATGTGTTAAAAATTCTACACATTTCCTTATCACTGTCAGTGAGCTGACCCGAGGAACTTTTGAGTGGGCCTATCTTGTCCCTGATCTTACTTCTGTATACCTGAAAGAATCCTTTGGGTTAGTCTTCGATTCTCTTGCAACTTTAACCTCATAATCTCTTTTTGCTTTTCTAATTCCCTTTTTTATTTCTCTCTTTAACTGAATATATCGATTTCTCAATTGCCCCTCTCCTCTTTTGATTTGCCTATATATGCCTCTCTTTTGACCAATCAGATATTTTAATCTATTGTTCATCCATTTAGGATCATTTTTGTTTGATCTGATTTCCCTATTTGGAACATAATTTGACTGAGCAGCTAGAACTATGCCCTGGAAAGCATCATATCGGCAACCATCACCACCTACCTGACCCTTAGTCAGGTCATTCCAGTTCAGCCCACCTAAGTAATTTTTCAGTCCTATGAAATCAGCCAAGCGAAAGTCAGGGACGGAGACTTGATTGCCATTATTAGGGGAATTCCATGATATATTAAAACTGAGTGATTTGTGATCACTTTCCCCAAGCTCATCATTAACCTCAAGATTATTAATTAGTGTTTCCCTACTGGCAAGAACCAAGTCAAGGAGGTTATTTCCCCTAGTTGGCTCTGTCACAAACTGTTTTAAAAAACAATCCTGGATCGTATCAAGAAAGTCACCTGACTCTAAATTTCCTGTCAAATTGCTCCAGTCAATCTGTCTATAGTTGAAATCTCCCATTAGCACAACATTTTCGTATGTAGATGCCTTACGAATTTCGTCCCATAGAAGTTTACTGCACTCCCTATCAAGATTTGGGGCCCTGTAAATCACACCCAAAATTAGTTTTTCTCGGCCCTCGAGAAGCTGTAACCAAACAGATTCAGTGGCTGACGCTTCTAATTTAATATCTTGCTGTATAGCCCTTGTGGCTTAGCGCTTCTTTTTGATTATAATAATAATTGTCTAACACAACAATTTAAATTGTCTCTGACATACATCGCTACTCCACCACCTTTCCTGTTGACCCTGTCAGTGTGGAATAATTTATAGCCTTGTATGTGACATTCAGAAGGCATCTCTCTATCTTTCAGATTAAGCCAGGTCTCTGTTATAGCAATAATATCTATGTTTCCTGCACTTGCAATTAATCTTAGCTCATCTATCTTATTTCTTACACTCCTGCTATTAGTATAGTAAACCTTAAGGGAGCTAGTCCCTTGCTGCCCTCTGCTGTCCCCCTTTGTTTGCTGACCTGATCTATTGTCTTTATTTATAACTTCATGCTGAATGCCTTTTATACATTTACTGTTTCCAACCCCAAATGTTGCAACCTGCTTGTTTCCCACACACACCCATACCTCTATCTTCCATCAGTTTAAAATCATAGGCATTTCACCAATGGTCTTCTCAATCGAGTCTGCAAGTGCTACCACCCCAGCCCAGAGAGATGTACCCCATCCCTTGCATACATATCATGTTTGCCATAAAAGTTGTTCCAGTTGTCAATGAATGGGATTGCAAGTTCCTTGCAGTATCTGTCTAGCCAGCAATTTACACCAATTGCCCTAGACAACCATTCATTTCCTACTCCCCTTCTAGGCAAGATGCTACATATGATTGGGATCCCTCCCTTAGACTTAATGAAATCTATAGCTGACCTGTACTTATCTAGCAGCTCTTCTCTCCTACCCTTCCCAATATCATTTCCACCAGCACTGAGACAGATAATGGGCTTGTTCCCATTACCTGACGTGATATTATCCAGCCTGTTGACAATGTCCCCAACACCAGCTCCAGGGAAGCACACTCTGTCTCTCATCTTCTTATTCCTATTACAAAAAGCACGGTCAATATATCTTACCTGAGAGTCACCAACCACAAGAATGCGCTTACCTCCATTAGCAGGGGCAGTAGTTACCCTTACCTTCACTGGCCACTGAAGTACATTCATCCTGAAGAACAGAGAAGCGATTTCCTACCTTCAGATCTTCACTCTTAACTTTCCTTACTCTGATGCGCCTTCCATTACTGTGAACCACTCGCCACTTGTAGCAGGTGCTGGACTGCACCTCACTGCTGGTAGCCGTTGCTACCTCCCCAGCTACAGCCTCCTCACAGCGAGAGACAGACTGCACCTCACTGCTAGAAGCCTCATTCCCCACAACTCCAGCCACCTCACACTCTCTCCCAGACCCATTGAGGTGGACCTTCAGCCTCCTAATCTCCTCCTGGAGAAGCAAGACCTCCTCCTTCAACTCTCCAACCTCAGGAGCAAGATTTTGAACATCGAACTGAAG